AGTTGGTGCAATCATTCCCAAATGGAAGAAACACAAAAGAAGTGTCAGTCTCCCTAGGTCTGGTGCACCATGCAAGATCTCACCTGGTGGAGTGTCAATGATCATGAGAACAGTGAGGAATCATCCCAGAACTACACGTGAGGATCTTGTCAATGATCTCCAGGCAGCTGGGACCACAGTCACCAAGAAAACAATTGGTAACACACTACGCCGACAAGGACTGAAATCCTGCAGTGCCCGCAAGGTCCCTCTGCTCAAGAAAGCACATGTCCAGGCCCGTCTGAAGTCTGCCACTGAACATCTGAATGATGCAGAGGAGGACTGGTGGGAAGTGTTGTGGTCAGAGGAGACCAAAATCCAGCTCTTTGGCATCAACTCAACTCGCCGTGTTTGGAGGAGGAGGAATGCTGCCTAGGACCCCAAGAACACCATCCCAACTGTGAAACATGGTGGTGGAAACATTCTGCTTTGGGGGTGTTTTCTGCTAAGGGGACAGGGCAACTGCACTGCATCAAAGAGACGATGGACAGGGCAATGTACCATCAAATCTTGGGTGAGAACCTTCTTCCCTCAGCCAAGGCATTGAAAATGGGTCGTGGATGGGTGTTCCAGCATGCCAATGACTCAAAACACACGGCCAAGGCAACAAAGGAGTGGCTCAAGAAGAAGCACATTAAGGTCCTGGAGTGGCCTAGCCCATCTCCAAACCTTAATCAGATTGACAATCTGTGGAGGGAGCTGAAAGTTCAAGTTGCCAAATGTCAGCCACAAAACCTTAATTACTTGGAGAGGATCTGCCAAGAGGAGTGGGCCAAAATCCCTCCTGAGATGTGTGCGAACCTGGGGGCCAACTCCAGGAAATGTCTGACCTCTGTGATTGCCAACAAGAGATTTGCCACCAAGTACTAAGTCATGTTTTGTGAAGGGGATCAAATCCTTCTTTTTTTTCCTCATGAACATGCAGATCAGTCATCATTTGTTAGACGCATTTCTGCTGAATTTGTTGTTGTATTCTGTCTCTCAGTGTTACAGCGAACATTCCATTTTCAGACCGATCATTTCTTTGTGAGGGGCGAACATTCAGCATCAGCCGGGGAGCAAATACGTATTTCCTTCACTGTATATATCTCTGTTTTTGGCCTTTCAGTGTTTTCAAGTAACAGTGTTGCATATTTGACTGCTCACTTCTTGCATCGTGTTTAAAATGTGAGACATACCATAATAAAAAATATATATATATTTGGTATAGAAAAGAATCACCCCCCTTTTAAGTAATCACATGTTGCTGGTTTGCAGCCTGAAAAGTAGACACACAGTTCTTGTTTTATCGAGCTGTATTTACCCAGTGCAACTTACAACATCCAGGTGAAAAATATAACACCAACATGTTGGGGAAAAAAAGTCAAAAACAAAATCACTGAGTTGGAAAAAAGGATCACTCCCCCCTAAAAATGACTTGTAAACTCAACTAGGCGTAGCTAATCAACTTCATTTTCAATTGTGATCAGCTGGATTAACTTGGTGTTTCATTCTGAACACTGACCTTGAGATTTTCATTGGGTGAGTGTCGGTTTTCGGGCAGCCCGGATGGAAGCCTTGCATGCTCCCGATAGCAGCGACGTACCTGCTGGTTGTGGATGTTACGTCGGATGTTGCTGCAGAATGTGTTTCCAAGCAAGCCTTGCCTTTCCTTTTCGTTGTGGGGCCTCGTGGGAACACACTTGGGCCTCCTTCAGGGTTTCATTATAGGGAGGGAATCTTCGAGATGTATCGTGTCACGGCAGATTGCATCCGAATACTGCGATGCCGCTGCTGACAGTCTACTAATATGCAGTTACCTGGGGGGTGTTGAGGTGTTCGCTCATCGATACTTCTTAATATTCAGTTGAATACATTTATGTCTGTTTTAGTCAGAAGATACATTTCATCATTCGTTGGAGATAACCTCACCCAAAGTGGTTATTTTAGTTTTTAATTGTCTATGACTAATGAATATGGAAGTGTTCCCTGAGTGCTGGCGGCATCAACAAAGGTACAAATGGGGGAGGTATCCAGGGGAGCCAGCACACTTCTCATCAGGGTGAAGAACAGATGCTTCTCCACCAGGGGCGCCACACCAACTCTGTTCACTTTACAGTTCGGCTCTGGCAGCCCCTGTGTGTGTGTGTGTGTGTGTGTGCCACTCCAACACGACATCAAAGTATATCTGTCACCTACTCGAGGAACTTAAAGTCAGCTCTGCTGTCGCAAGTCATCATACACTCTGTTTAAGGGATCGTTGCATTCACTATATCCGCTCTCCCCGGACCCCCGCATTCACTATATCCGCTCTCCCCCCGGACCCCGCATTTACTATATCCTCTCTCCCCGGACCCCGCATTTACTATATCCCCTCTCCCCGGACCCCGCATTCACTATATCCGCTCTCCCCGGACCCCGCATTCCCTATATCCGGTCTCCCCGGACCCCGCGTTCCCTATATCCTCTCTCCCCAGACCCCGCGTTCACTATATCCGCTCTCCCCTCCCCCGACCCCGCATTCACTATATCCGGTCTCCCCGGACCCCGCAGTCACTATATCCGCTATACTCGCTACAAAGTTGCAATGTAACAACTGGGGGAGAGGAGACTGGGTAAATGCTTCCTCCTTCCCGCAGCAGACTAATGACATTCTCTCAGCCTAAAAAAACTAACAGATGTGAGCGCAATTAGAGCTTATTCATGATAAAAGATGGAGATTTTCTGAAACAATTATTGTGTTTGAAACTGTCAGCAACTTTAAGAGATCTGATGTTACAATATATAGCAGTTTCCTTTTGCTGCCTCCCTGGTCAGAGCTGATGGCGCCTTTTGGTTTCCTCCAGCCGGCCACTGCTGTATTCTGTGGGCAGGGAATAGAACCAGAGGGCCGAGCAGGCGCCGGGTATGCTGGGTACCAGCGGAGTCTGTGGCCCTTCAAGAGAATCCACCAGAAAGGTTGCTTCTGGTTTAATTTCTTTACCACAGCAATAAGTTAACTAACATGAATGTTCAGGATAGCTCCTCTTGAAGAATGGGGCTGTAGGAAAATGATGAAAGATCATATAGATTTGAAATCATCTTACCTTTGTAGGTTTGTGTTCTGCTGGGAATATGGAATCCCTCCTGTCATTATACGTTGAATTCATGCGTGTTCTGCAGCTTTTATTTGGCAGTCTCAGGTGTTCCGGATGTAGATCCAGCTTAAAATAACAGTTCTTGTTTCCATGGTCCACGCTTTACCTATGCAAAACTCTCTCAGATCCCTCATTCCGAGAAGAATGCTGTGTCTGGGGATAATTCCTTGAAAATCTCCATGTCATAAGAGAGGAACACAGGAAACACAGAAATAGAGGTTCTAAAGGATAGAAACAATCGTGTCCACCACGTGGCAATGGGCTGAGGTCACCAAGTCTTTTCACATGTTCATTTGGTGTATTCCTGGTAATGTACCTTACGTAGCTTACTTCCAGCGTTCACCACCACTGCCCACCTCTGTTCTTTCTTCTTCTTCCTTCTTCTTTCTTCCTTCTTCTTCCTTCTTCTTCCTTCTTAATTTCTTCTTTCTTCCTTCATCCATCTTTCCTCTTTCTTTCTTTCTTCTTCCTTCTTTCTTTCTTTCTTACTTCCAGCAATCACCACCACTGCCCACCTCTGTTCCTCCTTCTTCTTCCATCTTTCTTCTTCCATCTTTCTTCTTCCATCTTTCTTCTTCCATCTTTCTTCTTCCATCTTTCTTCTTCTTTCTTCTTATTTCTTTCTTTCTTTCTTCTTCTTTCTTCTTCCTCCTTCTTTTTTCTTCCTCCTTCTTTCTTCTTCCTCCTTCTTTCTTCTTCTTCCTCCTTCTTTCTTCTTCCTCCTTCTTTCTTCTTTCTTCTTCCTCCTTCTTTCTTCTTCCTCCTTCTTTCTTCTTTCTTCTTCCTCCTTCTTTCTTCTTCCTCCTTCTTTCTTCTTCCTCTTTCTTTCTTCTTCCTCCTTCTTTCTTCTTCCTCCTTCTTTCTTCTTCCTCCTTCTTTCTCCTTCCTCCTTCTTTCTCCTTCCTCCTTTCTTCTTTCTTCTTTCTTCTTCCTCCTTCTTTCTTCTTTCTTCTTCCTCCTTCTTTCTTCTTTCTTCTTCCTCCTTCTTTCTTCTTCCTCCTTCCTCCTTCTTTCTTCTTCCTCCTTCTTTCTTCTTCCTCCTTCCTCCTTCTTTCTTCTTCCTCCTTCTTTCTTCTTTCTTCTTTCTTCTTCCTCCTTCTTTCTTCTTTCTACTTCCTCCTTCTTTCTACTTCCTGCTTCCTCCTTTTTTCTCCTTTCTACTTCCTTCCTTTCTCCTTCTTCCTTCCCAGCAAAAGAAAAATAATACAGCATTTTAGTGCTGCCAAGCACCCAAAACATAAAATATAAAACACAGCTGTGAATGAATGATGTGGTCATGTAGGAGGAGCCCCGCACGGACGCTGTTTTTAAATTGTGACAATGGATGCTGGGTGAAGATCCCATACCCACTGTCACAATGTAAGATCAGGGAGGTGCAGACAGGTGCTCTTTGGTAACATGTTACATCCTAAATATGGGTGTAACACGTTACCAAAGGTGAACTTACCGTTGAAAGTTTGTGAACTTTCTCCCCTATTACATAGACATTTTCCCATCTCCAAGCTACACTTGAGAACCTATATCAAGAAAATTGACTACCCACCTCTGTGGTATACTCCATGATCATGGACACCCCTCCATAATGGGAGTGGGGCATTATGGAAATAGTTGGTGGAGATAGGCACGCGTTAGAGCCCACCAAAGGTCTTGCGTTTAATCTGCCAATTATTCCATGGTTTGGGTATCCACAGTCTGCCACCACATTACAGGATCATTTGTATGCCTCCTGTATACCTGATCAATCTTGTAGCTCTGTGTGAATGACTGATTACTGAGGACCTTTATCAGTCTATGGTTGGAGCTTCACTGACTGCTTTCTGTCTGTCTTTTTATGTATGGCGTTAGTGTGGTGCCGGATTTCAGGCAGAGGATATCATCCCGCTGAACGGTGAGAAGGATGAGGTGGAGGAGCTCCGGAAGAAGATGGAAGACAGGAGGTTGAAGGCCAAGATGGAGAAGGTAACGTCTACAGGGAGTTTTGGGAGCTGCATTTGGATCAATCTCCATGTCTGTGTAACTCCGGAATCTTCTTCATTTCTAGAAATCCAAGAAGTCCAAGGCGGCAGAGAGCGCGGTTTCCAATGGAGAGACGACTGAAGGTAGTTAGGATGTTTATAAGGGACCACTTACCCTAGGTTCACTTACCCAAGGTTCACTTACCCAAGGTTCACATCTGTGCGGGTGGTGCCGCTGCGGATCCACACGAAAATACGTGCACCTGCACCACCCACACACAGAGGACTGCGGACCCGTGGGCGGGTGCCATTACTTCTAACGGCGCGCCATCCGCATTGGAAAATGCAACCGTACTGGGAACCGAGGCTCCCGTGCGGGCTGCATTTTCCAGAGAAGTGCAGGGACTTCTTTCCCTGCGTGTCCCGGGGCACGGGAGTCCATTTAAATGAATGGGCTCTCGTGCCCGTGTAAAACGCGTCCCGCACCGCCGCATAAATGTGAACCGGGGTTAGAGAGGAATGACCTTGTACGTAGGAACAGGGTAGCAGCTGTCTTGCGACTGCGTCATTTTATATACTAAAAACCTGAATATGTTTTGTGCTTTAACCCTTTCACTGCCAGAGCTCATTCCTTTTTTTAGGCACACGTTTAAAAAAAATCATTTTAGGCGTAAAGATTACGTGAAATTCCAAACATTATGTATGAAAAGGGACATCATAGAGCATAAAATAGCGGTAGCTCCAAATTTTTCTATGTCACGCGGTGTTAGTGCAATGGTTTACAAAACACATGATTTCAGTAAAAAAAAATAGACTAAAGTTGATTTTAGGGAATATATATTATTTATTAACGATACATTAAAAATTAGGTTACTTCTGGAATTAAAAAAATGAGATACCCAGCCTTAAAGTGTTACTAAACCCACAACAGTACAATCAGTCTGTATATGCAGTAAAGCATGCTTGTTATACTCACTGTGGAACCTAAGGGAGAGCGGATATAGTGAATGCAGGGTCCAGGGAGAGTGGATATAGTGAATGCGGGGTCCAGGGAGAGCGGATATAGTGAATGCAGGGTCCGGGGAGAGCGGATATAGTGAATGCGGGGTCCGGGGAGAGTGGATATAGTGAATGCGGGGTCCGGGGAGAGCGGATATAGTGAATGCGGGGTCCGGGGAGACCGGATATAGTGAATGCGGGGTCCGGGGAGAGCAGATATAGAGAATGCGGGGTCCGGGAGAGCGGATATAGTGAATGCGGGGTCTGGGGAGAGGGGATATAGTGAATGCGGGGTCTGGGGAGAGTGGATATAGTGAATGCGGGGTCCGGGGAGAGCGGATATAGTGAATGCGGGGTCCGGGGAGAGCGGATATAGTGAATGCGGGGTCCGGGGAGAGCAGATATAGAGAATGCGGGGTCCGGGGAGAGCGGATATAGTGAATGCGGGGTCTGGGGAGAGGGGATATAGTGAATGCGGGGTCTGGGGAGAGCAGATATAGTGAATGCAGGGTCCGGGGAGAACGGATATAGTGAATGCGGGGTCCGGGGAGAGCGGATATAGTGAATGCGGGGTCCGGGGAGAGCGCATATAGTGAATGCGGGGTCCGGGGAGAGCGGATATAGTGAATGCGGGGTCCGGGGAGAGCGGATATAGTGAATGCGGGGTCCGGGGAGAGCGGATATAGTGAATGCGGGGTCCGGGGAGAGCGGATATAGTGAATGCGGGGTCCGGGGAGAGCGGATATAGTGAATGCGGGGTCCGGGGAGAGCGGATATAGTGAATGCGGGGTCCGGGGAGAGCGGACATAGTGAATGCGGGGTCCGGGAGAGCGGATATAGTGAATGCGGGGTCCGGGGAGAACGGATATAGTGAATGCGGGGTCCGGGGAGAGCGGATATAGTGAATGCGGGGTCCGGGGAGAGCGGATATAGTGAATGCGGGGTCCGGGGAGAGCGGATATAGTGAATGCGGGGTCCGGGGAGAGCGGATATAGTGAATGCGGGGTCCGGGAGAGCGGATATAGTGAATGCAGGGTCCGGGGAGAGCGGACATAGTGAATGCGGGGTCCGGGGAGAGCGGACATAGTGAATGCGGGGTCCGGGGAGAGCGGATATAGTGAATGCGGGGTCCGGGGAGAGCGGACATAGTGAATGCATGGTCTACCTTCTGATGAGAAAAGGGTGGAGAAAAGGGGAGAGTGCATGTGATCAGCGCAGGGCCAATCAATGCTGTCCAGACAGAAAGTCAGGGGTCATGCAGCCTGAAACGCGGCCTGCAGAAATGCCGAGATGTGAACCAGGGGTTAAAGGATACCTTCACCTTTAGGAACATCTTACATGCACCGCCAATTTTTAGGGTGGAACATATAACATGTTTCCACCGCTGCAGCCACCGCCTGATTCCCCCTCCCCCGTGACAGCAGTGAGAGGAGAAGTTCCCCATACTAGCTGTTGGTTTTTGAAAACAGTGTGTAGGGTTCCGCCCTCACAGCTGCATCGAGTTCTGTGAATGAATGAACTACAAGTCCCGACAGCCTTTGCGGATGTCGTCTTGTAGTTCTCAATGAACGGCCATGGTGATGTTGAGCACTGTGTTAGTTTATTGAGTCTTCCTGTAAGATTGTTTCTGCCTGCCCATATGGGGATGTACAGGTACACTGACAGTTTGCAGGAGTCCTGCATGGCACCAGTGACCTGCTGATCGCTGATGCACAATGCTTTCCAGGCTCAAAAAAAAAAAAAAAAAAAAGTAAATGCACATTTTTTTTGCCTGAAAGTGCTATTATTATTATTATTATTATTAATAATAATAATAATAATATATATATATATATATTATTTTTTAAAGTGAACGTATCCTTTAAAGAGGGATCTATTCCTTGCTATGACGAAGTTTGCTATTCATTGTGCTGTCCCTAGTTGCAGTTGCTCTTACATGGCATAGAGGTGGACCTTCCTGCTCATTGTGTTCACATTCATGTAGAAGGGGGGCTGGGGGGTGGCTAAATTCTATTTTATATTTGAGGAACAGAACATATGAGGGAACTGAATCACATCAGCTTTTCCGAAATAAACAGAAAGGGAGTTCCTTCTGACTCTCACCACATCTTTGTCCTCTTTATCAGGAGCTCCGGGACCCTCAAAGACTATAGATGGAAACAAAACCATCCCCAAAGATCAAGCCAGTTCTGTTTCTACAGGTAAGTCATTCAGTGAGTATTTACTATTATTTCTGATACACATTATACTCGATGATATTATTATTATTATTATTATTATGACCTCTGTGCTTCCTTTGTATGGATTGTCACATTCAGCTGCATAATACCTGGTGTGACAGCAGAGGGTGCCATAGGCAGGTGATAGTTTGTTTGTTTTTTTGCATAGCATCAAGTGTGATTATTGATGCCTCTAACACACCGCCCACATGGAAGAAAATAGATTTAAAAAAATATTCTTCCCAAATATATTGACATGTATTTGAAATACTACAAATTTTGGCCATATTCAATATATTAACCACTTAAAGTCCAGACACTTCCCCCCCCCCCCCCCCTTCCAGTCCGGACACTCCCCCCCCCCCCCCCCCCCCTTCCAGTCCGGACACTTTCCCCCCCTTTCCAGTCCGGACACTTTCCCCCCCCTTCCAGTCCGGACACTTTCCCACTCCCCCCCTTCCAGTCCGGACACTTTCCCCCCCCTTCCAGTCCGGACACTTTCCCCCCCTTCCAGTCCGGGACACTTTCCCCCCCCCTTCCAGTCCGGACACTTTCCCCCCCCTTCCAGTCCGGACACTTTCCCCCCCCCCTTCCAGTCCGGACACTTTCCCCCCCTTCCAGTCCGGACACTTTCCCCCCCTTCCAGTCCGGACACTTTCCCCCCCTTCCAGTCCGGACACTTTCCCCCCCTTCCAGTCCGGACACTTTCCCCCCCCTTCCTGTCCGGACACTTTCCCCCCCCCCTTCCTGTCCGGACACTTTCCCCCCCTTCCTGTCCGGACACTTTCCCCCCCTTCCTGTCCGGACACTTTCCCCCCCCTTCCTGTCCGGACACTTTCCCCCCCTTCCTGTCCGGACACTTTCCCCCCCTTCCTGTCCGGACACTTTCCCCCCCTTCCAGTCCGGACACTTTCCCCCCCTTCCAGTCCGGACACTTTCCCCCCCCTTCCCAGTCCGGACTTTTCCCCCCCCCCTTCCAGTCTGGACACTTTCCCCCCCTTCCAGTCTGGACACTTTCCCCCCCACTTCCAGTCTGGACACTTTCCCCCCCTTCCAGTCTGGACACTTTCCCCCCCTTCCAGTCTGGACACTTTCCCCCCCTTCCTGTCCGGACACTTTCCCCCCCTTCCTGTCCGGACACTTTCCCCCCCTTCCTGTCCAGACACTTTCCCCCCCTTCCTGTCCAGACACTTTCCCCCCTTCCAGTCCGGACACTTTCCCCCCCTTCCAGTCCAGGCCAATTTTCAGCTTTCAGCGCTATCACACTTTGAATGACAATTACGCGGTCATGCAACACTGTACACATATGAATTTTTTAGCATTTTTTTTAGACCAATATAGCTTTATTTTGGTGGTGTTTTTTCACCGCTGGAATTTTTATTTTTTTTTGTTATGTAAATGAAAAAGTCCAAAAATTTTGAAAAAAAAAAAGTGTTTTTCTTCTAAAATTTTGCAAAGAAATAATATTTTATCATAAATCTTGACCAAAATGTATTCAGTTATCTTTTTAGTAAAAAAAAAAAAAAACCAAATTAGTTTATACCCATAAATTAGAACTTTTAAACATTTTTTTTTTACATTTTTATTTTTTTTTTATATTATTTGTTTTTTTTTTTTTTTTACATTCTGTCACCCTAGCAGTACGGTGTCACCATGGTGACACTGTACTACTTGTGGGGGGTGATGAATATTTTTTTTTTTTTTTTTTTCTTTACATTGATTGCTTTTACACCCATAAAGGCTGTAAAAGCAATCATTTATTTTTCTCTCTGGCTGCATTCTTGCAGCCATTGAGAACTACTGTGAGAGCTGTGATTGGTCACAGCTTGTCACATGGTACACAGCTGTTGTGAATAGCCCTGTACCATGTGACCTCTGTGATCATTCACAGATTTCACACGTAGTAAGTAATGATGTCACAAGTGACATCTTGCTTACTACTGTGCATGTGATCACTGATTGGCCAATCAGTGATCACGTCGGGACCTCACACAGAGGTCCCGTACAACGATCGGTGTTTCACTGTGTCCTGAGGACACAGCGGGCACCGGATCGCGGTGTTGCGCACTCCCAGGGAGCGTGCACAAGCAGGGGGCGGGGAGGCCATTTATAAACGGCCACCTGACCCTGCACTGCCACCCACACGTCCAGCCGTTTATATACAACAGCCAGACGGGAGGTGGTTAAAAAAAAAAAATATATATATATATATATATATATGTGGAGAGACGTATGGAGATGAGAGTATAGAGGAGTTGGATCCTCTTGAGAAGGGATCAATCCCAGAGCACATAGCAGTGACAACGGATATCCACTATTCCAAAGGAAAGAGTCTTAATCAAGCAGGTTCCATAGGAGGAGAACCAAAAGCGCACATAGCCTAATTATAGGCAGATAAGGAGGTGAGCGTACATCTGCACTAATGGGAGGATTCACAATCAGTCACGGATTCACATGCAATCATGGATTGAAGATTAATTAAAGCACAAAGTCACTTTTATATTTTTTATTATATGGGACACTGTCTTCACAGATATATTAATTAATTTATTTATGTATATTTATTTAAATCATTTGAGTAATATATTTCCTTTTTATTACAAGTGAAGTAATTAATACTTCATTAATTACATTAATTATAATTTTGTATGTCATCTGGTTATATGTTATATATATATATATACACACACTATAAAATATTTAGAGTATCTTGCGAGCCAAAAAACAAAAGGTCACCCTAAATATACAACATATAATGTATATCCTCTATATAGTAGGATCGCAGACATCTAACACATAACTACCAATGTGTAACAAAATTTTTGTGAATATAATCCTATAATGTTGCGCTCCCAAAACACTCCAGTATATATATATAATCACTTATCCATATCCTAAAATCATATGCAAAAAAGTGAAAAAATCATATAATAAATACTTTAACCAGATGACATACAAAATTATAATTAATGTCCGTGATTATACTAAAATAAAATCTGTGATTAAGAGTACCTAAATTAATATTACTTCACTTGTAATAAAAAGGAAATATATTACTCAAATGATTTAAATAAATATACATAAATAAATTAATTAATATATCTGTGAAGACAGTGTCCCATATAATAAAAAATATAAAAGTGACTTTGTGCTTTAATTAATCTTCAATCCATGATTGCATGTGAATCCGTGACTGATTGTGAATCCTCCCATTAGTGCAGATGTACGCTCACCTCCTTATCTGCCTATAATTAGGCTATGTGCGCTTTTGGTTCTCCTCCTATGGAACCTGCTTGATTAAGACTCTTTCCTTTGGAATAGTGGATATCCGTTGTCACTGCTATGTGCTCTGGGATTGATCCCTTCTCAAGAGGATCCAACTCCTCTATACTCTCACCTCCATACGTCTCTCCGCATATGGGAAAAAAAATCTAAACATGGTGTTTTATCCTTTTTAAAAATAGGCTTTATTGACTCCAAGTATTACACTCACATGTGTTGTATTCAAATATTATTATTATTATTATTATTATTATACAGTATTTATAAAGCGCCAATAGTTGGCTCAGCGCTGTACATTACAAAGGGGGACAGAACATGTGACAGAACAATACCAATACAATGCAAAACATGAGGGGATCAAGGGCCCTGCTCCTTGGAGCTTACAATCTAGGAGGGAGGGGGTGGTGGCACAGGAGGAGATAGCTGTGGGGGATGGAGTGGTAGGAAGAGTGGAGGAGGGAGGCAAGTTAGCAGGGGGTGGGGTAGGCTTCCCTGAAGAGATGGGTTTTCAGGGTGCGCCTAAAGGAGAGGAGAGTAGGTGATAATCTGATGGGTTGGGGCAGGGAGTTCCAGAGGATGGGTGACACCCTGGAGAAGTCCTGGAGGCGGGCATGGGAGGAGGAGACCAGGGAACTAGAGAGAAGGAGGTCTTGTGAGGAGCGGAGTGTGCGTGCTGGGTGGTACTTGGATATTAGGTCAGTGATGTAGTTCGGGGCAGTATGGTGGACGGCTTTGTACATCAGTGTTAGGATTTTGAATTTGATCCGTTGTGCAATCGGAAGCCAGTGGAGGGATTGGCAGAGGGGGGGTGGCGGAGACAGAGCGGTTGGAAAGGTGAATGAGTCTGGCAGCCGTGTTCAGGATGGACTGAAGAGGGGATAGCCAGCGGCGAGGCAGGCCAGTGAGGAGGGAGTTGCAGTAATATAAGCGTATCACAATGTAGACCGAGTCCTCCGCTGACTGTAAGAAGCATGCACCCGTGGTCTGGCACACGAACTGACTCCCTCCGAGTGACGTTGCAGTCCCACTAGGGAAGTAATATTAGTTTAGGTACTCTTAATCACAGATTTTATTTTAGTATAATCACGGACATTAATTATAATTTTGTATGTCATCTGGTTAAAGTATTTATTATATGATTGTTTCACTTTTTTGCATATGATTTTAGGATATGGATAAGTGATGATATATATATACTGGAGTGTTTTGGGAGCGCAACATTATAGGATTATATTCACATATATACACACACTGTATGTTGAAATGTGTTTTTATTACAAAATATATGACACATATTTTTAAAAATACATTTTTCTTCTTGCAGGGATGACAGTACGGGCTAGACGGCTTCTGATTGGTCAGCATCAAAAGCCATACTGTCATCCCTGCTTTGAGAGGAGAGCATTCCTGTTCAGATCTCATGCTATTCTTTACGATGCAGTTTTATTGACACAAAATCGCACCGCATAGTATCAGTTTCAGGTATCGGCATCGTTTGTGAAAATACTTTGTATCGTTGTTGCTGCATCCCCATTATAAATAATACAAATAATGACAAACTGTCAGCATCTGAGGGATGAAAGGATACAATCTCTCTGTAGGAGGATCTCTATTCAAAATTCATTCAAATACATTCAAAAGATCAGATCCACGGCTTTGCAGCTGTCTGTAGACTGGGGAACACTTACACTACCCTACAGAACAAATAGAAGGTGAGCCGGCATCCGGTGATATCTGCCATGGAACTTACAAGGTTTATTATATAGTTTTGAACCCACAAAGGCATAAAAAACCCAAACAAACAAAAGCTGCATAAAAATCCATCCACAGAGAGACCCACATAATCTGCAGCTTGTAGTTGCTGTCTATGGAGTAAAACGGGGCGCACTCTCCTCGGGCATTACCGTGATAATAAAAAATGTATAATGTATAATAAATGTAAAAAATGTATAATAAAAATACATTTAATACATTAAAAAAGGTTGAACTGTATGGAATTTTGTCTTTTTTTCAGCCAGACTAACTATGTAATTATATATACTCAGAAGCCAAAAAGGTCATAAAAACAGAGACAAGAAGTCAAAAGCTGCCCTGAGGAAGGGAGTTCGACTGCCGAAACGCGTTAGCACTTCACCCAGGGAACTTTGTTGCTTATGACTGGCAGCTTTTGACTCCTTGTCTCTGTTTTTATTACTTTTTTTTTGCTTGTGAGTATATATAGTTACATAGTTAGTCTGGCTGAAAAAAGACAAAATTCCATCCAGTTCAACCATTTTTGGTGTTTTTTATTGTATTAAATGTATTTTTATTATACATTTTTTACATTTATTACACATTATACATTTTTTATTATCACGGTAATGCGCAAGGAGAGCGCACCCGGTTTTGTTCTGTTCCGCTAGTATCAAGATTCCCCGATCTATCAAGGGCGGCACCTCAGCAGGTGCTGGATTTCATATTTTTGAGTGCAGCAAGAAGTTTTGAGCGCCTGTTTCTGTTTACCGTTGCTGCCTGTGGGGTGCATTCCGGCTAATTCACGGATTATCCAAGGCACACGCCATAGGCCATGACTGTGTGCAGCTGAACAGGATCAACAGCGGTTTGTCTTGCATCCGGGGAGTCACATCAAAGCCGATTTTGAAATCGTGTGACTTACAGTGAAGTCACACGATTTCAAAGTCGAATGACGTGCCGGTTTGAGGTGCGATTGGCAAGACATCTGACACAGATGTCTATGTAAATCGCACCAAACGTCGCGCATGCACTACTTTTATACTTGGTTGGAGCCGCACCGATATGACTGTTCTAATAGGATGCGACTTGGCATACGATTTGATATGACCGGGGTGTTAGGCTGGTAGCATCTTTCAAGATTCAGTGTTTAGGAGCAAGATCCAGGTCTGGTGCCAGCAAAAGGCTGCTTAGGCAGCTGCCTTAGGGCACCAGGATAGGAAGGGGAACCAGATCTACAGCCACTTGCTGGGGATTCAGAATTTTAAATTCTCTAACGCTGCACCCTCTCTTCTTCAGGGCGCAGTGTGGAAGTTGTAACCTGCCAACTACCTGCGGGAAGTGGGAAATGCATAACTCCGCCCCCTCATTACACGCTGCCATTGAGTGGCAGTTCTGAGATTTTCAGTGCTGTGAGACCACCTTCACGCTGCACCCCATCACATTACGGGCACCATGTAAAGGAAGTGCCAGCGTGGCTGTAGGCAGTGATGGAAAGTGGGGAATGCATGACTCCGCCCCCTCATTACACGCTGCCATTGAGTGGCAGTTCTGCTGTGTGACAATCTTCATGCTGCGCCCCATCACATTACGGGTGCCATTTAAAGGAAGCCCAAGCGTGGCTGTAGGAAGTGAGGGGAAGTAGGGAATGCATAACTCCGCCCCCCTCATTACACGCTGCCATTGAGTGGCAGTTCTGAGATGACAACCTTCACACTGCAGCCCACCACATTATGGGCGCCATGTAAAGCAAGTGCCAGCTTGACTGTAGGCAGTGATGGGAAGTGGGGAATGCATAACTCCGCCCCCTCATTACACGCTGCCATTGAGTGGCAGTTCTGCTGTGTGACAACCTTCATGCTGCGCCCCATCACATTACGGGCGCCATTTAAAGGAAGTTCCAATGTGGCTGTAGGCAGTGAGGGGGGGTGGGTGGGTGATAAAATACAGTGCTGAGGTGGGGGAGGGGATTGCGTTGTGAGTACATTGGCGCATAACCGTATAATCTCGCTTTCCCTACAGCGGAGTCCAGGACAACCGGAACAGGCGCCACATCCTCCGGCACCGCTACCAAGAGGCCAAACCATGACAAGTCGGAGGCCTACAAATCCATCTTCACGTCACACAGCTCGGCTAAACGCACCAAGGAACAGTCCTCCAATTGGATCACCCACACCGCGTATTACTTCTGACCATCAAGTAGTCATATCCCATACAATGTATCACCATTGCACCATCCATGTATACAGTTCTTCCCTCTTCATAGCTGGACTCTACCACGTCTCTATTTACACCTCGATCATTTGCGGCATCTTGTACCTCCTGCCCCAGTGAAGACATCCTGCGGGGATCCATCCTGCGGGGATCCATCCTGCGGGGATCCATCCTGCGGGGATCCATCCTGCGGGTACCGTCGGTTTGCTTTACAATTTACCTTTGGGTGGAGCTGGTCCGGTGTCACCCCGTGCGGTAGGTGTCACCCGGTACGGACCGTACCCCCCGCTCCTGCCTCGGGGCGCCACTGCATAAAACTGTTTTCATTATACAGTTAAAGTTATTATAAAGGATTTTTTTTTTTTTAATAACATGTTATACTTACCTGCTGTGCGCATTGGTCTTGCACAGAGCAAACCGGATCCTCTTTTTGCGGGGTCCCCCACTGATGCTGCTGGCTCCTCCTGCCTTCCGATAGTACCACCCGCCCCTTCCTTAGCAAGCAGCTTGTTAAGGGGGGTACTTCTGCAGGCTCAATCCTGAGCTGCTGTATGTGTGTCTATTGACGCATACAGAGCTGCTGTGTGTGTATGTGTGTGTGTGTGTCTATTGACACATACAGAGCTGCTGCGTGTGTGTCTGTTGACACGCAGGGCGGCTTGGCCCCCCCCCCCCCCCTGCTCCCTAGTCACCTCATCTGATTGACGGCAGAAGGAGCCCACAGCTCTAGTGAGGGAGGGAGAGAGATCGGGTTCATGTAAGTATTTGGAGTGGGGTTGGGGGTGCTGCTGGGGGGGCCACTTTGAAAAAAACCGCAATGAGAAATAGAGGGCGGCGTATTTTATTTATTGGGTTCATGATATTTGTGGGTCAAGGTCCCAACCAGACAAAGGAGGGGGATGGAGTGAGATCTGTTCATGTGAAAATAAAGGGTAATGGGCTCCTTGTGTTCTGATTTGTCATAAAACATTTTCTTTCCTTTTTTTATGTTTTTTGTTCAACTAGAAAACCACAAGTTCATTTTGAAACAATGTTGCATCGATGTCAATAAATCCAGGTTTTCCTTATGTCATGGAGTGTCTTTGTTGTATGTTCTTACTAACACGGTATGGGGGGGGGGGGATTGTCCCCCCAAGTCAGGCAATGAGACGGGATGACTACAAGATAGAAATTCCTTCCACTTCTTAAAGGATAAGTTAATCTTTCAGGAAAAAAAAAATAAATGCAGAAAACAAAAATGTGCATTTCATTTTTTTATTCTTCGGGAGCCTGGAAAGGATTGTACCAGCGATGAGGGGTGCAGTGTCAGGCTTCTGCAGACAAGCCCTGCAGTTTTTAACCCGTACCTGCATACAGACTGGCAGTTTGAAAGCTGCAGGGCTTGTGAATGATGAAAACGGGAAGGGTGCAACAAAAACGTTTGGTGAGATACTCCCAATGGGAAATCACGTCTAAAGGGATGCAGACCCTGACACTTTCCTCGTTAGAGCTCCACAAGTGCAGCAGCTGATTGATAATTATAAAATCACTTCCATTAGATTCACTGAGAATATGGACAAGCAAACGGCTATTTCTTCAGAATAACAAAAAGGTAGGAGTCTGCAGTGTACGCAGATCACCCAGAGGGGGAATGTGTTATTTGCTTTTTTTGCTTGTGTAGCAATTGTATATATACAGTGAAGGAAATGCGTATTTGCTCCCCTGCTGATGTTGAATGTTCGCCCCCACACAGAAATGATCGGACTAAAAATAAAATGTTGATCCCCTTCACAAAACATGACTTAGTACTTGGTGGCAAATCCCTTGTTGGCAATCACAGAGGTCAGACGTTTCCTGGAGTTGGCCCCCAGGTTCGCACACATCTCAGGAGGGATTTTGGCCCACTCCTCTTGGCAGATCCTCTCCAAGTCATTAAGGTTTGGTGGCTGACGTTTGGCAGCTCGAACTTTCAGCTCCTCCACAGATTTTCAGTCGGATGAAGGTCTGGAGACTGGCTAGGCCACTCCAGGACCTTAATGTGCTTCTTGAGCCGCTCCTTTGTTGCCTTGGCCGTCTGTTTTGGGTCATTGTCATCCTGGAACACCCATCCACCACCCATTTTCAATGCCCTGGCTGAGGGAAGAAGGTTCTCATCCAAGATTTGATGGTACATTGCCCCGTCCATCGTCCCTTTGATGCGGTGCAGTTGTCCTGTCCCCTTAGCAGAAAAAACACCCCCAAAGCAGAATGTTTCCACCACCATGTTTCACAGTTGGGATGGTGTTCTTGGGGTCATAGGCAGCATTTCTCCTCCTCCAAACACGGCAAGTTGAGTTGATGCCAAAGAGCTGGATTTTGGTCTCCTCTGACCACAACACTTCCCACCAGTCCTCCTCGGCATCATTCAGATGTTCAGTGGCAGACCTCAGACGGGCCTGGACATGGGCTTTCTTGAGCAGAGGGACCGTGCGGGCACTGCAGGATTTCAGTCCTTGTCGGCGTAGTGTGTTACCAATTGTTTTCTTGGTGACTGTGGTCCCAGCTGCCTGGAGATCATTGACAAGATCCTCACGTGTAGTTCTGGGATGATTCCTCACTGTTCTCATGATCATTGCCACTCCACGAGGTGAGATCTCGCATGGTGCACCAGACCTAGGGAGACTGACACTTGTTTTGTATTTCTTCCATTTGTGAATGATTGCACCAACTGTTGTCACCTTCTCACCAAGCTGCTTGGCCATAGTTTGGTATCCCAGTCCAGCCTTGTGTAGGTCTACCATCTTGTCCCTGACATCCTTGGACAGCTCTTTGGTCTTTGCCATGGTGGAGAGTTTGGAATCTGATGGTTTGATTGCTCCTGTGGACAGGTGTCTTTTATACAAGTAACAAAATGAGATTAGCAGCACTCCCTTTAAGAGACTACTTCTAATCTCAGCTTGTTACCTGTATGAAAGACACCTGGGAGCCAGAAATCCTGCTGAATGATAGGGGATCAAATCCTTATTTCCCTCATGAACATGCAGATCAGTCATCATTTGTTAGACGCATTTCTGCTGAATTTGTTGTTGTATTCTGTCTCTCAGTGTTACACCGAACATTCCATTGTTAGACCGATCATTTCTGTGTGAGGGGCGAACATTCCATTGTTAGACCGATCATTTCTGTGTGAGGGGCGAACATTCCATTGTTAGACCGATCATTTCTTTGTGAGGGGCAAACATTCAAAATCACCCGGGGAGCAAATATGCATTTCCTTCACTGTATATGATTTATTGATTTTTTTTGCTAGTGTAGCAATTGTATATGTTTTATATATGATTTTTTTTTTTTTCCCCTGAAAGTGAAGTTACCCTTTAACTGCAGCAGACTGATAAATCTCTGCTCCCTCCTCCTTTCAGCGTACACCATGTCAGCAATTATGGCTGCAGCACACCTCATCTGACCGCAAATTACTTGCCCTGCTCTCTCCAAATCTGAGTCAGGGTAGTACAAGAAGCTGGAATATATACTTAATGTTGTTATAATGTATACATTATATTTATAATATATGTACTCGTTCCGTTTGAAATACATCTAATAATATATATATATATATATATAGATACATTTTTTTTTTTTCCCGTAAATTCATATTTGCATTTCTTTGATGGTGGCTTTATACAGTCCTCAGGCATACAGAAGCACCATGCTTTCAGCAACGCAGTAAATAGTGTGAGCGATGTTTTATTGCCTTTTATGTCTTTTGTTATCCAGCTTATCGCCGAACATCGGAAACCACAGAACAGGCCGTGTAATAATAATAATAATAACTGTTCGTTGTGGAAAGGGACGATGTTTTCCTGTATGATCTGGTAAGGAAATCTAAGACTGCAATAAAAAGGTGTCATTAAAGCATTATAGAATTCTAAGCAGAGCTCCGCCCTTCGCAGCTTTTATTTCCAGGCCTCCTGTGTTAGAGAGCTGTACTACCGAGTGTCCACTAGATGGCGGTGTAGTCCCACACACAGAGGCAGGTAAGACTTCATTTCGTTGTTGGTGAACATTTGCGCAGAGGATCGCTGCTTGAAGTCCATGTGAAGGGGGAAAAAAACTAGCGTTTGGTTTATACAGTTTAGTCTTTTCCTCGTTATTTGAAATCACCTAAAAAAAAATAAAAAAAAAAAAGTTTTTAAAAAACGGATCTTTACTCTGCGGTTTCTCCCGTCCCAGTCCAAAAAGAAAAGAAAAGGAAAAAAAAAAGATATTTCCGCAGTGGACTTTTTTTTTTTTTTTTCTCCCAAGCTTTGGTCCTGCCCTCCCCCCATCCTCTCTACTCACCCAGGTGAATAAGGTGCATGCCCCCCCCCCCCCCCTGTGCTTCCTGCAACTCCCCACGCAGTAATACATTTTGCCATTAGATGGCACCAGTCTTCTGGGTTAAGTGTTGACTGGCAACGTTCATCCCACTTTGTCTGAGCCTAGGCTGTCATGGACCCGCCCCCCTGGGGGCAGCACCCAGGCATTATTACAGGAGCTCGATGGATGTAAGAGTGAAGCTCCAGCCCCCCCAGAGCTAAAGCAGCCATTACTAATATAGCCCCCCCCCAGGCACTGCAACACTTTGAAAAGGGAGCTGAGATATTCACAAGCTTCCACCTCTTCAGAATCTAAACAAAAATGTAAGATATTTCAGCCTACCGGTCCCGAGGTGTGGTGGCTGCACTGCCGGGACAAGGGCATCGATCACCCAGGAGGTGGCGACAAACTGACCCCCTCCTAGATGTGTAAACATTATTTGTCAGCAAAATCCCCCCCCCCCCCCCAAAAAGAAAAAAAGCACCAATCTACTTACCCCCTAGCATAAATTCGCTTTGCAAGTAAAAATTCCCCCTCCTCCCAGTGCAATTACCCCCCCCCCCCCAGAACATGAGTCTGACACTTCCAGTCCAGGAGCGCTGCAGCCGCAGGAGTGTGGAGCTAGAAGGGAGAGCGAGCACAGCCCCAACCTCCTCCTGACTCT